ACCTCACTGACCGAAGGGGTTCTTTTGGTCAAGTGGAAGCAACTCCGCCTCTCCTCATACATGAGGGGTGGTTTGGGGAGCCAACTCCCAAAAAAATAAAAAAATAAAAAAGAAATTGGGTGGGCAACTCCCAGATTGGCAAAAAAACAGGAGTTGTTTTTCCAAGACCCATTTTAAATTTCAGAGCTTCAAATAAAAACTTGAAGTCATGAGATGTGCTCAAGTGGTGTAGAATAGGTCCCAATAAATGAACTTGACAAAATAAAACCAAAAAAAAAGTTACAAAATTTGTGAAAGATAAAAAATAAAATTGTTTTTTTTCAAAAGCTTTGATATTTGGAATCAATCTCACTATATAGTCATCAAACAAAACTTCCCATCACGTCTATGTTCCAATATCTCCACAAGGATAGGGAGACTTTTGATGTGATCTTTGCTCATTCCATAATTGATTAAAAACTCGAACAAAATACCAAACTATCAGCTACTGATAAATGTATTATTTGTTTCTAATATTTTGATTTCTTTCTGTTCAATTGCAACAAGTTGTTTCAAATATAAGTACTGATAAAACACAGTAAGATATTCATTGCAGTTAGCGTTGCTTGTGTCAAATTGATTTTTTCTAGCTTATATTTTTTCATTGCACTTCATTTCCCCCCCCCTTTTTTTAGATATATATTTTTTAGTTCAACCATCATCATTTAATTTGAAATAAAAGCAATATTTCCTTTATAAATTCTATTTGTATAGAGTCCCCTTTCATGAGCACATCTTTATTTCAAGATAAACTGCACTTAAGATATACAAAATATTTCCTCTTGGAAACATTCACAGTCATTTGGGAAGAGAGAGTTTTGTGTGGGCCCTCACATTTCACTTGCCCTTGCTTTGCACAATGTTTATGGTAAATGATCATTCATCAGGAAAAACAACAGAAGGGTTGGCCAGCATCTCACAGGAGTTTATTATAACATCTGAAATACAAGAACATTCTGGCCAGTCTCTACCTCACAGAACTCTGTTTGGAATGCAGACCAATTTAGCAGGGGATCATTCTCATCAATTCAGCTTTGTAACATATTTTTCATCCAAAAGACTCAAATGTGAAAATACCCTCAAACACACAATTAATAAATTGGTTGTTTGATCAAGTATTCAGGTCAGAGCAGAGTTTACCTGTATTTGGATTAGTTGATGAGGATAAGGAATTGAATCCAGGAAAAGAGCTTGGAATGATCCAAAGCTAACTCAATGAATTCCCCCAAATTCGGAGGGGGGCCTCCAAAGGAGGGACATATGCCTAAAGTCCCAAGCCTTGCCTGAGAGAATTAATAGACTTGAAAATGCAAATACGGACTCAGATGCCTGTTCTGACCCACCAGACAGTCTGTAAAAAACCTATGTATGAGTCTTTTGGAGTGGTGTTGACAAGCTTTCACGTAATGTTGTAGTAATGTTGTGCAACATGCACATTGAGGAGTGATGTGTCACACCTTTGGGTGTACAATCCTGGGTCACTATCCAATCCCTGGATCCAGGGTCTGGAAAGGGACCAAGGATGAAATCTGTAAAATACAGACATGCATGGGGACCATGGCTGGGGACAATTTTTGGTCTTGTGTCTCTAAATGTGGGATAAGGACCCAATTTGGGGACCACAATCATGCAATGGTGATGCTCTTAGGATTTGATATGATTTTTCCCAGATTTCTCAGAACAGGAATATATCAAATTGAAAATACAAGTTGCCTTTCTGATTCTGCAACAAAATGAAGGAGATGAAGTAAGAAACAAATTGTGGCTGAACAAAAGATAGGAAAAAAACCAATCATACAACATATGTGATAGCTGAAGTAGGTAATGGAAACAAATTTTTTACATGAAAGAAGTAGGAGATTTTGGGTGTTTCAAGTCATGGGCAATAGTGGGATCTAAAAAAGACCAAGCTTAGCAAGGTTACAAATTCATCCTGCTCAAGCAATTTTGGAATTAGTATTCTTTTTTATTTCACTGAAACTTAGTGAGGACACACCAATGGAGAACCATCAACACATGAAAGAGTGACAGTTTCAACCCCCTTGGAATTATTCAGCCAGCTGTCATTTCGTTTTTGATCTAGTTGAATCAAATAAGAGTTAGATACCATGTATGTGTTATGTGGGGTTGTGTTTTTGGGATGGAGAGTAAGAAATAATGCACACTTTTGATCCTTCCTACAAGCTCATCGTGTTGACCCAAAACTACCCTGTGAATATCTCCTCCTTCTTCCTTAAAATTTAATTTAAGCCTAAAGTATTGTCGGGAACCAGAGTTGTCCATGAAGTTAAAGCGCCAGACATTGGCAGAGAAGATTTTGGGCTCAAACTGAAATTCTCGCTGTGGTAAATTGTCTTTCTGAGGAGGACCTTCTCTCTGGGTAAAGGTTGTTTTGTGGTTTTCACAGATATCATCGAACTTAACCCCACAAGCCCCTTTTCCCATCTCTCCTGGTATGGCCTCGGAGTCGCCTACGCCGACCGAAGGGAGGGACTTGGGTGCAATGACCAATCTCTGGCACACGAGGAATCTTCCAAAAGCCTTGAAACAGGTGTTTCTGGACTGATCCGGGTTTTCCTCCCCCTTCCCATCTTTACACTGCCACGCCTTGTGGATTTCTGGCATCCCTGGCTTCTGCCCCTGGATTTGAGCCAAAAATTAGTCACCTCGCGGCGACGAGTCACAAGCAAATCAAAATTCCATCGGACCATGTCTGGTGGGACTTGTTTCACGATGGCCATGCTGTACAGCCAAACATAGGTGGAAAGGGGAATTTACATGTACATACTGTTGATTAGGCTGGGGCACCCAGTTCATCCCCAGCCTCTTGTTGAGTCGCGATATCATTAGTTATCACTCTCTTCATCACCATCCTATTGCTATCATACCCTCACAATGGACAAGTCCGCACCGCTCGTGAACAAGGTCATTTACATCTGTGACCTGCTCCAGAGTTTAGGACTGACCCCCAAAGCCTTCATCACCGGCTTCTTGGAGCTTAACGACTCGGATCTGAAACTGCGCCGGGGCTATTGGGGCATTTGCAGAGGCTGGCCCTCCACCTTTGCACTTGTGGATGCCATCCGGGCCGAGCTCCTCAGATCACCTGAAGGGACATTGCAGTGGTCAAACTACATACAAGACCAGGTATGTCAGAAGGTCATTTATTTGATAGAGAGAACTAGTCACTGATCACCAGGGAGAACCACTCCAAGGCGGTTACCATCTTGAGGCAGCAAAATCCGAGGAGCGGGATCCACCCAAATGGGTCTTACATCAGCTCGGCCGCGATAACTCCGGCAATCTTTGCTGAAGATTCAAAAAATCATCATCGGTTAACATTGACAGGCAAGGAGATGCCATTTCTCTACCAAATTGTACTCGGGATGCTGTGTTCGGCAACAGACATCAACCTTGGGGATCAGGAGGAACAAGTACCACAGGTTGACAAGGGGGAATTGGTACCGCTGGAAGCTCTTGAGGAAGAGTTGATGGAGAGAGAGGGGTTCCGGTATTCAAGGGGAGATAATAGTGCTACAACTCGCCGGGGTCGTTACGAAAGGGTGAGCTTTTAGAGTAAGATAATCATGACTTGGATGACAGACTGATCACAGGTCTTTTTTTGCCTCCGATTGCTAAAGATTGCTTACACGGTTTGTGCAATGCTGTCTTTTGCAAAAAATCGTCAACACAATGTATTTCAGCTAGAGAATAGCATCCGGTTTCTGGCTTGTGGGATGTCCGAGAGGGTGAACGAATACTTCCACCACCTTGGATTAACCAGCTCACGCCGCACTGCTATTGAATCTCTCAAGACTCTGTCAATTTATGCTCAAGGTGAAATTACCAGGGTCATGGATCTCAAGGTCAGCCCGGCCTTTGGTCCATTTATTTGCATTGATAACTTAGACATGGAGGAGCGAGTTCATCTTGTATCTGTTGGCCATCGGTCCATGATGTTCCACGGGATGTGGGGTTACATCCACACTCCCCCAAAATCACTACTCGATTCTATTGATTTATCTGAAATAAACCTCGAGTCGTATCATAAGGCCTTACAAACCGTCCGGACCATGGAGATAGATCCAAGGGACTTCTTTCCTGATAGAGCCACTGAAGACCATTATGTACAAGTGTGGAAGAGCCAGCTGGCTACTGTAATGATGAAGTACATTGCGATTCCTTCAAACAAGAAAGATGCTTACGCTTGCCACCCACCGCCTTTGGAGGTCCTCACCGCTCAAGCCCCAGACTTTCACATGCTCAAACTCATGCTTGAATCAGACAACTCAGCCGAAGGCATTGGCCAAGTTATGGCTTCGGTTCAGCGGCAAACTGGTCTCACACCCGAAGAATTTGTAGGCCGCTTACAACCCATGGAAGGTGACCTGGGGACGTGCCAGAACTTTCACTCAATGCAAGCACTGAGGTCCCCCAACAGGCGAGCCGAGGAGAACATGAACAGTGTTACATTTCAGCTAGGGGCCTCACACACCCTCTGGAACATTGGTCAGACAATCTTCACAACTCACTTTGGTAACTCAAATGACGCCGAGGACATGGGAGCTTGGCGTACTTTGAATTCGCTAGGGACCCCCCCAAACAAGGTCCTCCAGAAGAAGGACTTCACTGGGATGATACAGCATCTGGAGAGGGTCCATGAGGCCACTCTTTTCCACTGCCTCAGGTAAGCCTCACTTGGCTCCATGTAGATCCCACAGGAACATAGTGCTAACTCAGTCGGATATGTAGGGTGGTCATGAACATAGAAAGGAATCCAATCTGTGAATCTCTGCCAACAATTGACACTGCCAACTGGAACAAGTTCATTGACCAATGCTACACGCAATATTGCTCACCGGCTGCCCGTCGGCAGGCATACGCAAAATGCCGGGTCAGCGACTTACATCTCAAACGGAAGTTGACAGACAAGGAAGCTGAAGAGATTAGACAGCGCCACAGCCGTTCAAAACTCTCCAATCTCCTGGTGCGCTTACACGAGTTCTCAACCGTTGTTGAAGCCAACCGAGCTATGAAATCAGGCGACATGGGCCGGTTGATTAATATATGGCGAATGTGGTCTGTGATGTCGCAATCTTTGCCTGGATTGACTCACTATGCAACATATCTCCCACGGTTGGTTCTACTGTTGACCAAGGTGCTGCCTGAGCCACTTAGCCGCTTTTTCAAACACAGCATGTTGGTATCACCTAGCGGTCGCCCAGGTCACTTTGTGGCCAAGGACTTTTTTTTGGAGAACCATAATTACTGGTTGAAGTTCTTTTTCAACCATGGGGGCATTGGAACTCAAGTTGAGCGGCTGAAGGAATTGTACTCGTTGAACATACCCTTGGTGAGAGTGACTCCTCACACTTGAAGAAATACCTTGGTCAATGCTCAATGCTGATGATAACATCACCTCTACTATGTGCCCAGCTTCGATCTCTCTTCCACTCAATGCAGGTAGACAGTGGCAAGCACCGAGTATATCAAAGCCACAAGGTCTCCTTTTCAAAAAACTCACTCAAATTGTTTCGGCAGATGGCATTAGACAGCGACATCCTGGACCAATTTCACCGGACTGATTATTATCATGACCTCACCATCAACGATACAATGGTTGAGGGGGTGGAGTGCTTCCAAGACATCATATCCCATAAGGATCATGACCTAAGCCGACTCCGCTCACACATACCTACATACAATCTCCCATCAAATGAAGATCAATTTACTCATGTGCAAGAGATGCTCAATTCAGACAATGACACATTAGCATTGGATGAGAACATGGAAGATTTGGACCCCCCCTCATCTGACTGCATGTAAAGTGAGTTGAATAGAACAGAAACAGACAAGCACACATGTATGATTCTAATCTAACCCGCTGTCTTTCTGCCTGATTGCCTAGGGATAAATTTTGCAGGTGTTTGAGAATTGGAGACACGGTTAAGTTGTTAACTAGTGCTTGGGTTGCGGCCTCCGCTCGCGAGCTTGTTGCTGTCTTCTTTGGCATTGATGTGGGCTTTTTCCTGAGATGGAAAGTCTTTGTCAACGTCAAGAGAGCATCCAACTGGCCTTTGATTGTCTCACCACCTATGAGAACCCGTATGTCTTTTAAAGTTAACAGCTTGTCGGCATGGTGTGCAATGAGATCTATTTTTTTATCTTGGAACAGTTGGCTTGGAGTGAAAAAGGTGTTGTCCCCATGTTCGTTCTGGTGCAGTTCATCCACCGTCTCCCGCATTTGCCTCTTGAAATTTCTCAGATCCTCCGGGTCCGCAAGCGCCCGTTTGTTAGACATCCAAGGACGTTGGATCTTGAGCTTTGGGTGTTTGGGAACCAATGCCCCAGTCTCATAGGCATTGAGGTCGGTTGTGATCATTCGATCAATATTATCCACCGTCATTAGCTTCATATTCTCAATGAATGTGTTGGCTTCCATTGGCATGCAGTTGGAACACCTACACTGGGCAAAACCCAGACGCTCCTCACGTGATTTTTCATTCTGATACCCTTGGTCTTTGATTGACATAGGTATATATCCTAGCCTGAGTGCACACAGAAGCATGAGAGGCTGACCACCAAAAAAGAATAATATTCAAGAAAAGTGTAGCTTACTTTGTGTCCAGAGAAAAAGCAATTCGGAGGCACACAGGAGTGATTGCCAACCCATCCATCCGGTCATCGTCTGATTGCTCAACCCCATCCAGGATTTGGTCAACCCGATTTTTCCCGCCAATCCGTGTCTTCTCGACAAACATGATAGCCACCCCAGGCCGCCCATCCCTCCCACATCTACCAAGCATCTGACAAATTGCCGCCGGATCCCCTCGACCCATGTGGATGACCGAGCGCACCCGGGACCAGTTCTGCCCCAAACCCAGGGCCATAGTTGCCGAAACAATGGGAAATTTCCCTGCAGCAAAGTCGTCGGCAACGTCAATTTTGCACAAGTCGCCGGTGATTGAGTGGAAACGTCGCGCAAAAGTAGATTCCGAGTTATTCACAGAGTCTGCTGACCCGCGGGCCCGGTCCAACACATCAAGTACTTTCATCGTCCGGTGCCGGGATCCACTGTAAATAATCGTTGGGACCACCTTTTCATCCGGCGTGGTTGTTTTGCGAGCGTAGAGGTCTAGTAGATCCTCGCACGAGCTTAACGAATAATCCATTGTCACCCGGATAAAGCGAATGCCAGGCCGAGTGAGTTCTCCGTTCAACATCCGTAAGGTGTGGTCTGAGAGCTTCAGGCTTGTCTTTATAGCTTCGATGGCCACTGGACGGCAAGTTGCCGACATCAATAACATAGGCATGTTATTCCGAGTCATGAGATGACCACCTAGATTCCCGTAACTGGGCCTAAAGATACCTCGATCCTCGTGTCGACCCAGAGCAGATGATCGCTTCCTTCCACGAGTTTTTTCCACAATCCCCCATTCATAGACCATATGAGCCTCGTCAAGCACAACCAGGCCCAAACGCCGCTGAAACATATCGCTGAAGTAGACCCGATCCCACATCTTGCTGTTCAGAAAGATCTCAGGGGAGAGATAAACAAAGTTGTAAAACCCATTGGCAATCAGTTCGGCCTCATCCTTGTTAAATGTGAGACTTGTCAGATTAATTGCGGTAAACTTGGCGGCCTTTTTTTCCAGTACTTGGTTGTCTCCAAGCGAGTCGAGGGGATTCAGAACTATAATGACCGGCTTCTCACTGATGGGGAGCGTCCGGAAATACAACTCAGGTATACGAGATTTTCCATAACCGGTCCCGGCGAGGAGGAACGTATTGCGTCCACGTACTAGGTTGACCACCGCATCGATTTGCAGCGTTTTCGCATCTTGACCATAAAGGCTCCGCGATATCTCTAAAATTTCACGCCTCAGGGCGTCATCCTTCTTCTCGGCAATTTTCTTGAGCACGGTGATCCCAAGCGAAGCCCACCTCGCAGGGGGTGGTTTGATTGTCGGGGGTGGGTTTTTGGATGCTCGATTCATGGCAGATGGATTCTGATCGCTGCCCAACGTCCTACTTGTGGACTTTCTGAGTTGAAGTCCCACTGGGGGACAGCTTATCATTTTCTACTGAATGATCGACATAACGACTCATAACGGCCAAACATGTGACTGTTATTTTAAATCAATGTATTCTAGATTCCGCATGTACACCTTCTTTTACAGGAATGTGGGTAGGTGTACAACGATTGGTCGATCCCCAAGTTTTTGGGGATTTTTTGGCTTCGAATGATCCGCTGGAGGTCATCTCCAGGGGGATGTGAGTGATGAGGACATCAAAAGATGCGCAAGATGCTCATCCTCGTTCTCATATTTTTTACCAGATATCGCGCTTGTTGGCTCTCCAGGGAGGGGGTGTTTAGTGCAGAAAAGCCACCTTTTTGGCTCTCCTGTATTTCCCTCCTGCGCCCCAGGAGCGACTTTCCACCCAGGCCTCTCTGTGAGACAGAGACCCTTGCGGGCTGCCCTTCGGGCTCTCACTCGCGAGGCCCTGTTGTTAGGCTCAAGATATCATGGTCCTGAAGAGTGTGATAGAGAGGAATGAATTAAAATCAGTTAATCAATTCTCGGTCAACTACTGAAAATCATTCATTGTTTTAGTGTTTACACAACTGACCCCCACAAGATTAAACAACTTTTTTGTAGACCCGTCCTTGAGTGTAATTCTGGTCTCCCCAGTCGATGGGGCATTCAGCTCCAAGGCATACTGATATACGACCTTTCCGTCCGCACTGAAGATCTCGGAGTGGCCATCTTTAGACTTCATTATATAATCGTTGGGAAGAGGAATTTTTGGTCGTGCATAGATGACAAAAGGAAAGAACACCAGTAGTGTAATGAATGTGAATGCGCTTGGGATTTGCATTGTCGGGTATTGCGGATTGAAGATAGAGATAGAGGCCCTGATGGCTGCAGAAACACGTCCGTTAGAATCTGTTTATTTTATGTTGTCTGAATGTAACCTATTGAGGCAGGCTGGACAAAATGAGTGTGATGAGGATGGGCGAAATACGCTGAAAAGCAAAACCAGAATGTATGAAAGTGCTGACAAGCGATGAAGTAGTGGAAAGAAACAACGGTATAAGCTAGCAGGCTTAAGAACAAAGATGATGGTGGCTCAAGGGTTTTATAGCGTTCGCAGAATAAGCAGGACTACTATCAGGGCCCAAATGTGGAAAGCCCAAACACTGACACTAAGCCATTGTCTGCTTGTATGTAAGAACTCCTTGTAATGGACCTTTTCCTAGCAGGTGACCGGAGAGCGTACGTAGCTCCAATGTCGCCGTTGTCCATGACTTCCGAAGGGGCAGGGATGTGACAGTCTCGCTTTATCTGATACCCAGACCAAGCTTGACATGATTAAGAGTCATGAGACTGCAGGCAACGAAGATATGTAGAGAAGCTATGTTCGCAACCGACTCCGGCTCTTCTCTTCTCTTCATGGAGAGGGGAGACCGGAGTACGAGCGTTTGCCTGAGCTTACCGTCCTAACATTAGTCCTTGCCCAGGAAAGGATACCAAAGCAACACTGCAAATCGAGTTAAATGGCTTCGGGTTGAAAAATTGGTGGAAAGGCGCCGATAGATCTTTTCTCCTCAAAATGCAGAAAGGGCCGAGCAGAATCTGCAGATTGAGACAGAATCTTACAGACGTTTCGAGTTAGCCATAGAGTAAGAAAAGCTTTAAATGAATTGTATATCTTCCTTTTTGCGTTGGGCCGGCTCACTCTCCTGGGTTGCTCCTCTTAGTTTAGCAATACTAATAAGCTACGGTCCAGAGGATCTTGCTTGAAAAACTATCAAGACACAATTCAAAAGGATATTATCTTGAGGCTTCCGTTTTTTAATCATTTGCTCGTGGTGCAAAGATTACCATCCAAAAATTTAGGAAAATGTAAAAAATAACCTAAGTTGTACTGATCAAAAGTAGATCCAACCATGGAAAGCTTCAGATAGCTCTCAAAATTGAATCTAGATAAATGGTCACAGGGGATTTTCAGGATACATCAGGGCTAGCAGTCCAGACAAAGGCCAAGCCAGCTCAGCTGGTCCACAGGATAATCAATCACTTCTTCCAGCTCCTTCAGCACATGATACATCCCAGTCAAACAGGATTGTGAACCAACTACAACAGGATCATGGACATCAAGCAGAAACTGATAGCTCAACTGGAAAATAGAGACATCAATGGCTTTCCTGCCCTGCTATGTCCTCATGACACCCATTCCATCCACCAGTTGATCCTTCATGAGAGGCTGATTTTCCAGACAGGATTTTTCAAACCATTTTCCTATTGAAATCCTCACCCTTCATTCATCTTCAAATTCAGAGCAGACTTTGTGACCATGGAGAGGGGGTGTCATCATAAACTTAATGGAAATTTCCAAGCTGAACACAGATTCTTTCTTTTTATCTAGAATTTTAACCTTAACCAACAAACTTGACCAACTTGCCAAAAAAACAGGTATCACAACTTGTGAAGGCACAGGAGACATCAATTCTCCAGGTGAACCTGTTTTGCTGTTATACCCAACTGAATCTCCTCTCTTATATATATTTTTGACTCTTTTGTTCTGCAACTTATCTTCTTGCCCATACCACCAACACATTTCTTGAACTAATTTCCAGTCCTTCCTATTCCGTGTTTCAATCCCATTACAATTTTCCTTTTGCATCCTACAGTCAGCCTTCAATCCTGTTGCACAATCCTATCCTTGAACCTTCCTCTTGATCATTGGTATCTCTCCAGAATTACCTTAATATTTGTCTTTTTCCTCTATGCACAACCCTTTCCTTAACAAAGAAGTTTACCTTTTTTGTAGATGATTGAACTATTCTCAGAAGTCAGCCCAAGTTTGCCACTTTCCCCACACTTTCTCTTCCACATTAAATATCCCCATCAATGTAAATTTGATGTCTCTTCCGGTCATTAATTACCTTCCTCCCCCCTATTCTATCTTTCAACCATAGCACCTACTCATACTAAGTCATTAGCCAGTTGATTCATCTTATACGCCCTCCATGACTACCCTGTACTCCATCCGCGGTAGTCTTAGTGTAGACACACCCCTTATTATCAATCCTGATGGTTCAATCCGCATCACTTTCACCAATAGATCTGCCTTCTCAAGGCCCAGTATTAGCTCTTGCAACTCACCAAAATATTCAATTGTGGCTAATCCTATGGTGTTAGCCATTGCCACAGGCGGGCCCTGGTTGACTTATTACGGCACTTTTGAACTGTATACTTCAACCAATCTCATAGAAGCTTGGGCACATGCCTTGTACTTGCAGAGTGAATGTCCTCAATTCATGAGACATGATGGGTCACCACAAGTCAGCAACAATGTTAAATTCACCTTCAACAGCCAAGGAATCTGTGAATGTCCCATTAGTCCTTCTCCTGTAAACAATCTAACTATGACTATTCACTTAACCTCTTCCCTTTACATACACTGATTCCTCTCATCTTTGAAATATGACTATCAAGAAGTGCCAGGGACAAAGTATGAATCAAGTGTAGTTGGTATTGAAGGATCAAGTTTTTGTGCACGGTCAACTATACGTGGGTTTTTCCAGGGTCAAGAATGTGTGAAATCTTTTTGTAACTCAGGCAGGTTCGGACCAAAAATTGGTCAGTGTGGTGGTGAAACATATCTTCCATAAAGAAATAAGTAATCAGGACCAAGATGATGATGTATTTTTGTTGTAGTCCAATTTTTTGGAGTTTAAATTTATATCTAATTCAATAATGTAAGGCTTTATAGGCAGCGCATCTGCCCTTAGACACTAGTATGTAGCTATCCCATACAATCTTTTGTTTATGTTACTGCTTTCCTTGATCAATTGCACCCAGAAGAAGACCAATGGCAGGTGTACTACTACTGGTTCCATCAATGCTCACTTCAACCAACGGTGGGCCGCTACGCTACACTACGCTATTTGGCCACAACATGTTAGCGTAGTTGCTTTTTTTTTGCTGGAAATCCTGTAGTGTTAGTTCACGCTACACACCGCTGAGCTAACTGCCAGCGTAGCGTGAAATTTTTCCCTCAAATTTTAAGCTACACTACGCTACACTACATTAGAAGTTACACTACACATGTAGTGTAGTGTAACTTGTAACTCATCAATTAAAGAAATTGATGTGTCAAGCTGGATTTTTGCACAACTTATGTGAAATGTTCATATGACTGATACGGCCGAGGTCCACGGTGACGATTTTCAATGTCCCGTGATCGCACACAATCCCGCAGAAAATGAACAGCACAAGATGTAGAGACAAACAAACGGAGGATTTGCCTGGTGAGATTTGAACACACAACCTCAGCAATGCTGAGTCACATACAAGAGTGCTTCCTTTACCAACTAGGCTACAGATGCTTGTGTTTGCCAGGTCAGTTGGGTGGTAGTTGTCATGGCCCATGCCCACAGCTCCACCACACTCTGGTGATACATAATGGTAGCAGACTATCATACACCTCAACACACACACCCCCCTTGCTGCATGATGTCAAAGTGGAAATTGAACACAAGTAAGTGTGGGAATGGAACCCAGTAAATTAAAAAAATGGCAGGGGGCTAAAATTGAGTGGCCCCCAGTACCAACTGAAAAAAAATGATGATCAATTGAGGGGATCTGGATGTAGGCCCCCCAATCAGGCACTGTCTTCAGGGTAGACTAGCGCTAGTCATGTGGTCATGTAACTACATAGTCAGTTACACTAACAGTTAGTGTAACTTTTAATCAGTTACACTAACAGTTAGTGTAACTTTTAATCAGTTACACTAACAGTTAGTGTAACTTTTTCACCAGTTACGCTAACAGTTAGTGTAACTGAGGGTATCACTACACTAACTGTTAGTGTAACTTTGCAAAAAGTTACACTAGCATGTAGTGTAGTGGGTTCACCCACTAACACCGCTAAAATTTCACTAACAGGATTTTGGGTAGTGTTAGTTGTGCCTTTTTGAAGGTAGCTAACACTACACTAAAGTTGTTTTTTTGTTTTTCAAAAATCCTGTAGTGTTAGTGGGCCAAAAATTCCCGCCAACAGTAACTTTTGTGTAGCGTAGCTTAAAAAGCTAACACTACGCTACACTAACACTACGGTTAGTGTAACTGGCCCACCGTTGCTTCAACCTCTTCCCAAGATCAATCTGCACTCATGGCTTCCTTAAATAACAACACCAACCACACAGTGTTGATAAGCTCGCCAGAAAGTGTGGACATGCTCAAATTTTTTAGCCCATTTATGTTATCTGCACCAACTTTAGTTTCAGTGTAATATCTCTAACACTCCAGATTTTGTGTTAAAGGCTACATAGCAGTATGGCAGTGTGTCAGCCTCTGGGTAACTAACCTGAGTATTTAATAGTAAAAAGGTTGTTACTATGAGTTGACTGAAGTTTTTGAGCGTGGTGAGTGTTAGGTAGTGGGTGATTAATACCAGTCCTGTAAAGAGGAGGTTTCACTCTATCAGTATGGTCTTTACTGAGAGGCTTGCTATCAACAGCGCATCCGGATCAATACAAGGTATTAATAGGCATCCAGGGTACTAAGACTCACCTGGGATTGATTTGGTTATTCCCCAAAGGGAATGGGCTAACAATACTTATTAAGCTTTAACAAAATTAGTTGAAGATTAACAGGTATTGTTGATGGGAATATTCAGCAAGGCTATGAATACTGTGGATAAGTTGAGTAAGAGTACTGAAGCTTAAGAACAATAAAGGTAGACAAGATTTATGTTGGTTACGGGTACTGTATCAATATAAATGTTAACTGGTTTAACTGGTGTCTGAATATTCTGGGGATTAATCAGTGAAAGAGGCACGGATTATAAGTTCCAGAATACTGAAGGGGGGAAAGAATGAGCGCTCAGAATCAAGGGAGCTTTGGCCTGGAGAATGAGTACATCAATTGAGTGACTGATCATTATTTGTCATGATCTGTAAGTGACATCATAATTGTGTACTAGTTGATCAATGTACTAGTTGTTCTTGATGCGTGCACTTGACAGATCCTCTAATAATGTAGTCATAATTGTGATCAGTGCATGTATTGAATGTATTAATTCTATTGACACTTAATACTTACTATTTAATACATGTACATATTTATTTGTAATAATATTTGACCGTGAAAAATACTGTAGCAGAGGGATAACTTGTGGTACAGGTATTTCACGGACAAGGGAGTGAAAGGTAAGTGATAATTACTTATGTATAACACAGGTATGCATTTAATAGATAAGTAATTAACAGATAAGATAACTGTAAGATAAATAAGATAAGTTAATAATAAAGATAAGATAACAAGAGGTAAAGGTAATCAACATTATGGATAAGTACTTATGTACATAAGTACAGGTGTTGCAGTTACTTGGTACATGAAAGGTACTGTGACATGTACTCTGTGGCTGACACAGTGAAACTAAAAGCTGTGTCCACCATGCAATAATGAAGTACTGTTTAGAAGTTTTTTAGTGCTTTAGTGCCCTTTAGCACAAAATAACACAGCATCATCTAGAGAGATTCTGACACTAGAGAATTTTTGAAATCACAGAAACACTCAAGTTTTTTTTCAAAAAACAATTACAGTGTAGCATAGAAGCCCATTACTGCTGGAATGGAATTGGTTTGATCTTAAGATCCCATTCCAGATGGATAGAAAGAGGTATGTTGAGATATAGAATATTGTGCTACTAGTACTCAGGAGTATGATATTGAGACTATTTCTACTAAGTTGCTGACAGCAGGACAAAAATTTGGGGATCTCTTTTTCTTTGTAAGAGATATGGAAACACAAAACTTGATCAAAGATAATAAAGACAGAAATTAAAGAACTTTTCTGTTTGAATTCATAGAGATTTCTAAGATTAGTGATATCTGAATCTTACCTGAATGGTAGTTCTAGAAGGCAATCTTCCAGTTTTTCATTTCCTGTTGGATGCATGCAGGATCTGGGTAAGTGAGACCTATGTGGCCAACCTTTAGCTAGCTGAACTCAAGAGTTCATTTCGGAAACATATACAGCTATTGTGCAAATGATTGCGCTGATTTCTGAACTTTTTTTTTCTTGTGTGCGACTTTTCTTTTTGCCCCAATCCTCAAAGCCCGGCCCCGCCTGTGCAAAGTACTGCGGAGCACACACCTGGTGAGACCACCAGATTTCACCCAATCAGCCGAAGTTATACATTTTTTTTTTGGGCTGAGTCGGTCATGATAAGCAAATTTACCCGGCGGGCTCAGGGCTTTGAGGATCGGAGGAAAAAAAATGTCGCACAAGGAAAAAAAAAAAGTTTGGAAATCAGTGCAATCATTTACACAATAGCTGTATATGGAAAATTTAACCTGGTTCTCCAACTTGTTGTGGGGTTGTATTTCTCTTCTTTGAGACCATCTCCAACTGGGGAGGTAACTGGAGGTAAACTGTGCAAGTAAACCAAATTTACCTCCCCAAGCTCAAAATACCCCTACCACCCAGGGTGCTAAAGGGGAGGTAAATATAGTTTTCCCCCTCTCAGGTTGTATAGCATTGCCAGATGTGCAATTGCTATAACAACCCATGTACCTCCCCTACCAACAGTAGGCCTCTATGCTACACTACGTTATTTGACCACTAACTTTTAGTGTAGTGGCCTTTTTATTTCCTGGAAATTCTGTAGTGTTAGATGACGCTAAACCCCACTGCGCTAAATGTTAGTGTAGTGTGAATTTTTCTCTCAAATGTTTTGGTAGTGTTAGCTTTGAATATTCTCAGCTAAACTAACAGTTAGTGTAACTTTTTTTGCGCTAACAAAATTTTGACCGTCAGATAGTGTAACTGATTTGAAGCTAACATTTAGTGTAACTTATACCAAATTAAGCTACACTACATGCCTAGTTATGCTATGCTATGCTACGGTAGTGTAGATTTATGCTCTTGAACCCTCTTCCTCTGCTTTCTGTTTTCAATGGACAAGTTGTGTGAACTGTCCATATAACTGATACGGCCAAGGTCCATAGTGATGATTTTCAATGTCCTATGATCACACACAATCCCGCAGAAAATGAACAGCACAAGATGTAGGGACAAACAAACGGAGGATGTGCCTGGTGAGATTTGAACACACAACCTCAGCAATGCTGAGTCACATATAGGCCCCCCAATCAGGCACTGTCTTCAGGGTAGACTAATGCTAGTCATGTGGTCATGTAACTTTTAATCAGTTACGCTAACAGTTAGTGTAACTTTTTCACCAGTTACGCTAACAGGTAGTGTAACTGAGGGTACCACTACGCTAACTGTTAGTGTAACTTTGCAAAAAGTTACACTAACATGTAGTGTAGTGGGTTCACCCACTAACACTGCTAAAATTTCACTAACAGGATTTTGGGTAGTGTTAGTTGTGCATTTTTAAAGGTAGCTAACACTGCGCTAAAGTTTTTTTTTAAAAAATCCTGTAGTGTTAGTGGGCCAAAAATTCTTGCTAAAGGTAACTTTTGTGTAGCGTAGCTTAAAAAGCTAACACTACAGTTAGTGTAACTGGCCCACTGTTGCCCCTACCCAATGGTTTCACAGGGCAATCTTGGTGAAATCCAGATCCTGCTCCCCTGTTTGGGTGGCCTTTCACACACAACACACCTACTTGATCACCCTGTTGTGGAAAATCAAGTTTCACCGGGTTGCTATAGGCATGCCACAGTCGCAGATTTTAAATTTAACAACTTGAACAACTCTTTGCGGTGGAGATGGTCTAATGCTATGATGTTTCACAGCCATGGCAGTGTTGAGTACAGCTTCAGTCCAGGACCCAGGGAACCCTCCACAAATCACAGAGTAAGGGCCTGTACCATAGGACATGAAAATCCAATTTCTCAAAATTTATCTTGCTCAAAATTTTATATTGTCAAAAGTGACCATAACTAGAAGCTAGTCTTTGGCATGAAAGTGAAGAAATTCAACACCAGATCTCTTCAATTGTTCCCAGTTTCTGTGTACATAGAGGATGGAAAAAATGCCCATTTTTGAAAATTGAACCCTACAGTACAGGCCCTAAAACATCCTGGATTTTGTGAAAGATTTTTATTGATTGGGGGAAATGCATGGAAAATTGTTTTGTGATGCCCATTCATATATGGTTGGTGGGCATGCTTGCCTTCAAAGTCTTCCAAAAAAAAAAAAACAGGAAAGATCATCTGTGGGAATTGGCTGGTTTTGGATCTTTTTTAATTGCACAATTTTAGCCCAGATTGATACCTCAACAGCTAGTTTGCTTTCTACCAATTTAGAACAAGTTGAATGCATTCAGGTTACCTATTGAGGTCTTTATGGGTCCTTGTAGCTCCCATGAGCCTTTTTCTTTGCCAAACAGGATTTCTCACATCAGTCATACTATCATTTCAAGGCATGTGATGACAGATAGCAGCCCAGTTACAATCAAATGTCCATGCAACTCAAGATCTGGAGCATCCTTGTGGTCAGTGATCAGGTGGTCCCACTCTGTAGAGGCAAGGATGTAGTAATGAGTGATGATTCATTATTGTGCGCCGCTGCGCTAGCTTGCCCAGCCTCTCCGTCGAACACACGAAGTGCGGGAGAGGCTTGTGCCAAAAACGAACACGCCCGCGTGTTGCTTTCCAGTTTTGAGAGTGTTTTTTGTGCGAAAAATTCTAATAAATTGCTTTCTTAACTTTAATAGAGGAAAAATCTGGCACAATGTATCCCAGATGCCAAAGTAAATTTTCATCAAGGAATTACCCAGAAACATGTACAACTACATTCTAGGGAAACTTTGTAAAGGTCCAAGAATCCGCTCAAATTTGTGTTTTTTGCTTATGTAATAGCTTCTCAAGGCTCGGAGCTCAACTTTAATTCTGATTTATTTCAATATTTCATATTTTTCAAAAATATCTTACTCGTCAGGTTTTCATACAAAATCTCTAAAAATTGGATGAGGAGAACCGCAACATGGTCAACTTTGACCATGCTGACTCTGCCCTCAAACAACCCCAAAGTACATGCATGGTGGGCAATCCAAAATTCCCTACACCAAAACATGTTGATAGCGACACGCGAGCTTGTGCGTATTTGTCACAAGTCCCTCCTTCGGAGGCTCGCTTCGCGAGTGGCGACAGCCAGCCCAGGTCACCAGGCCCGCAGAAGCTTGGGACTTGGTACAAGTTAGGCCGCTGCGCCCCATCAGACAGTAGCCGCGCTGTGCCGACTGCGGCGCCCTGACCACTGTGACGATCTTGTGTGTCTTGGGCAGGCTTGGTGGAAGAGCAGCGACTATCAACTACTCCCCCTACATCGACACTTCAGCCTCTCATCATGGCCACCCTAGCACCACCACAGCTGTGCGTACAATCTCATCACAGCATTTGGAAAGCTATCTACTGATTTGATGATATGGTAATCCTTCTCACAGTTCCGCCCCGGCGACAAAAACATCTTGGGCTGATGAATTAGGTTTGTCGTCAAGATCTCTTCGAGTCGTCAATTCATCATCAAACCAGCCGAAACTGACATAGATCAAATCAACTACATTGCATGTTGTGGTAATAGATGAGGATGAATTGCCACCATCGACAGAAAAGATCGATCCAGTGACGGGGATCAAGACGATCGTAGAATACAAATGGGATGAGACTGGAGAGAAGAAGATCAAGACGGTGCGCAAGATCAAACGAACACTAGTGACCACACGGGTTTCACCGACCGTTGCGGCACGCAAAGGATGGGCGAAATTCGGCCTGGAGAAGGGCAAGAAATCGGGCCCGGACCTGGCGACGACCACCTTAGGAGAAGCGATCAAGTTGAAGATCGCAGTGCCTGGACTGATCAAAGAGCCGGTCGTCGAACAAACCACCAAAGCAACGATCGTGCCCGGCGGCAAACGGATCACTTGTCGACTCTGTCAAGGAGACCATTTCACCGCAAGTTGTCCGTACAAGGATACTCTCGGTGGCGTTTTGGGAGGCGATGCTGGTTCGTCTTTTCCTCCCCCTTTCTCCCCCCCCCCCAAAAAAAAATGGAGCCGATCCTGATTACGTCTTCAGCCGACCAAGACCAACAAGACGGCCCTGGAGCATCGCAAGCTCAAACGAACAACGCCGCTGGTGGCGGGACGGGCAAGTATGTGCCACCCTCCCAACGAGACGGAGCCAAACGAGGAGAATCGATGCAGAAATCAAACAGAGACGACTTGCCCACGCTCCGTGTTACCAACCTGTCCGAGGACGTCCAGGAAAGCGATCTGTGGGATCTCTTTGGGAGATTCGGCAGGATTTCTAGGATCTATGTCGGTAAAGATCAAGAGACCGGCTTGTGTAAAGGCTTTGCTTTCGTCAGCTTTGAGGATCGAATGGAGGCTGAACGGGCTATGAAAAAGATCAACGGTCTACCGTACGATCATCTGATTTTGGGATGGTATGCATTGTTTCATCTATCTTTTTATTTTTCATCAACATCGTTCCAGTGATTATAATAACTGATAATAATCGACCTATCAACACTTTGTTGTAGCATGTGGAGCTTACCTCGTGGCGAAAGAGAAGCAAAATAAACATGTACTAAAACATCTCGGGAACTCCTCCCCCCAATCAGTCCTTTCTAAATGCCAAGATTTTATCGCTCTGTTTTCCGTCACATATTTACTAACCTACAGTACGTGGGCCCGATCAAAAGTTACGATGTTCTTTCTCTCGATCGCAATGTAGAATTGCCACAAGCAAGCCTCTTTTCCATTGGTTTCTTATTTTGACCCTCCCCCCTGGTCGGCTTCATCAGTTTTTGGACCCAAGCCGATCTGAGTTAGAGACAACAATATTGGATCCTCCATTTCTATCAAATAGACAAAACCACATACTCCCCTCCTCACGCTTTCTTAATGCCGCCCTTCATACCCCCTATGAGAGGTGGTGTGACTGGTTGACAAGCTGTCGAAAGTTCTGTTCAAATCAGACATGCGATCACGAAGTCAGTTCATGGACTCAGTTTATCTGTAGGCTCTCTGGCCTGTCCTCCTTGCCACTAAGAAATCCCCACCAGGCCCTGCTCTTGAAAGGGCTGTTGTGACCAAGCCCCCCTCCTCTCATCATGGACAACAGTTGGATATAAGTTTCGGGTTACCCCTCTGTAAAGCAGCTTTGATGCTATTTTTGTAGTTTTTCTTTGCTCATGAGGGTGACTGTCTTTGAATGTTCAACTAGAAAGACCCTCTGGCAATCGGGGGATCCAGGGCGCACCCCCAGAAACCAGTTCTCCCCGGGGGGGGGGGGGGGGGGCTTAGCTGCATGGGTGTCACGTGACATGTGATACCTGAGTTGGATATTCATTATCCGGTTGTTTCCCGGATTTGGGATCTCCATCAAAGTTTAAAAAAGTGCCAGTGCTGTGTACTGTCGAGAATCTCCCAACAAAACCAACAAAACAATCTCGAGTCTCCAGCTGGGAAGAGAAAGCGAGAGAAGGAAACACAATCAACAAACTCAGGAGGGATGATCAGGAGCAGTGGAAGGAAGACTAAAAGAAAACAGCCAGACTCAGAACCAGAATCAGAATCAGACTCAGAATCAGAACGCTCCTCAACCACACCAGAAACAGCTTCATCATATTCGGCTACCACTAGCGAAAGTGATAGTGGCAGCTGCACTGACTCAGATCAAGAACCTAGCTCTCATCTCCCTCAACTAGTGATCATCAATGGCAAACTCATCGACTCGCGAAACAAACAAGCTGATCAACATCCTCAGCAAGGAGCCCGAAAACAGCGGAAATATTTTTGTCATTGGGAGGGCTGTCAGAAGAGCTACACTAAACCAGTCCGATTGGAAGAACATGTGAGAAGTCACACCAATGAGGTATTTCCCCTTTTTTTGTTTGTCAAGCTCCTTGAAGACAAACGATGATATCTGAGGGGTTTTTTTGTCTCCTGGGGTTTTAGCGGCCTTTTGGTTGTCCAACATGTCCGGCGGCGTATCGAAGAGAAACCCATCTGACAGCGCACATGAGGATGCATCTGCCGGAATCTCTCGGCCGTTACTCTGTGGATGGCAAGCCGCAACCCTTGCCCCATCATCATCATCATCCACCACCACCACATCTGCGGCCAGCCCAGAAGCCTGTCCCCGGCGGTTCTGGACCCAACAACAACTGAGGATCCATCGCGAAAACGTCCACGAGGGGAAGAAAGGACAGCCCAAGCTTCGATGCGATCATTGTCCGCAGGAGTTCCTCAAGCATCGCGCCTTGCGCGCTCATCTCCTCGACGCCCATTGTCCCCAAGGCACGAAACCATACATGTGTCCCCACCCCAACTGCGGCTTCTCGTTTGCCAACCCCTCCCGATTGCGCAAACACGAACGCACCCACGAGCCCAACAGATACACTTGCGTCCATCACGACTGTCTCGATAACCCAAGCCTCTCGCTCCAGCAACGCTCCTTCTCTAGTTGGACTGACCTCCAGCGTCACACACGTGATTCGCATCCGTTCAGATGTCCCGAGCCGGACTGCAGTAGGAACAAGAAACCATTCAAGTCTCTTCGATCGCTCAAACAGCATCTGCAAGTCTATCATCCTCCTGCCCAACCGCACCGAGAGGGAGAAGAAGAAGAAGAAGAACCAATGACAGCTCCTGGGATCCTGGCATCCTCGGCTCGGAACACGGGCGCGTTCATCTGCACCCAATATCCGCCATGCACACGGGCCTACAAATCCGCCCGCGCCCTGCAACGCCATGTCAACCTCATCCATCTCATCGACCGCCACACCTCCTGTCCGTTCCCAGGCTGCTCCTTCAGCTCTGCATTCCCCTCCGGCTTGGCCAAACACATCAAGTCCAAACATCCCTCCCAAGACCCAGCCCTCCCTTCCTCCTCCGCCCCACTCCCCAAACGCTCCAAGCTCACTAGAGTCCAGAAACTTGCTCAGATCGACGTGCTTACTGGGATCGGCTACTCGGACCCACTTCCTCCCGATACCAATAACAAACTAATTCAGTCAACATTCAGGAAATTCGCTTGTCCTTTCTTCAAATTGAATATCACCCATCACTCCGATCCTCATCATCATCCTCATGCCACAGAGTCTGAAGAAGTCTCTGTCCAAGCTCCCCAACCCAATCAGAAAGATACCACCCTCAACTCAGCACCCGGACACCCAAAACCGACCGAGAAGAACGAGCTCGATGGGGAGGGGTCGACGGAGAAGTGTCTGTTCAGGTTCAACCGAATATACGATATCCAACGACACCTCAACTCCCATCATTCATTGACCGTCGACCGAGAGACGTTGAAAGACTTCTTTGGGGTCCCTTGAGTGGTCTCTGCCTCCCACCCGTCACGCTTCATTGGGTCTCGATCATCAATGTCTTGCACAATTCACCAAGCAGACCCCACTTGCTTATTTTATTTTATTTTTATCGAGTTTATGTGTTTGCATTGTGAACATTCTGTATGTATCTGTTAATGGGGTCAATTAACTAACACTATAAATAATATTCAACACGAGTATCATGTGGTGATCAATGACAAGGATCCTCCTAAGTAGACCTAATTACTATCTGACCAAGATCTGCGCAGCTTTCAGACACGGTCTTGGAGCCGGATGTGTGGACTCGGACTGGTTCTACTATATATATAGACTGGTTGGCAACTGTTTCTCTGGACAGTTTCGAAGAATTGTTTCATGAACACGGTCTATCATGGGCACAACGGTCTTCCTCATCTGTGATGTACCAGTGGCATCAACTTATGGTAGGAGCAAGTCTTACATAGAGTCTGGGTGTAAGACAAGGTCTCAGAGAAATCACGTTGTTCTTCAAATCAACAGAGCAGGAGGTTCAACCTTATGGGCGAATCACCATCAAAACAAAACAAGAAAAAATGCAATTTTATCTTTTTGGTGTCATTTGAATCATGGGGATGAAACTATTGATGTTTCTCTCAGAAAGGATAATCATCTGCATTCCTTTTCTCAGACAGTCTGATAGTGGAGTTGGACAGTCAACTTTGGTTCTGAATGGGATGGAGGATGTTTGGATCTACAAGGAACGTTGGACTCTATATATGTAAGGGATGTTTTGATATAGAAAGTGCTACGGTGACTAAGGACAGTAGATAAGATGAAGCTTGTTTTGATCTGTGAGGAGAGCTGCACTTGTAGTGGGGAAGTGTTTGATAGATAGCTAGTGTGACAAATAATGGAAATTTGCTTACAGTGAAGGTTCTAAATGAAACCGTTTTTTTTTACTTTTCAGGATCTGCTTTGAAGTTCAACTTCTGTGAACAATGAGATGAGGAGGTTGATATTCAGAAACATGAGTTTGAATGTTTGTGTGAGAAAGTTCATCTCCAGTTCTCAAGAAAGTTGACTAAGCCAAGATTGAGCAAACTCCCTTTGCTCCAAAGTGATCTTGACTTCTGAAGGGAAAGAATCCCAGACTGCTTCCCAATTTGTATGGGCCATCCTTGCTGCCGGTATTTCTGTCTTGGAAAAACTTGATCAAGACCATCATTTGTTCATCAAGACCATTGATTTTCACTGTCAATCTGTATGCAACATTCTCGTTGATGAGCTTTGAAATGATCCCATAGTCAAAATTCTCTTTGGCTTGAAGTTTGAGAGTCTGGATGTGATTGAGCAATTTCTCATCTCTGAAGATGTTGGAAGCTGTATTGCATAAGCTGTTCAGTTTTTTATCATACTCTTCTTTGAATGTTCTCCTCAACCAAGCCCTGTCAGAAGATTCATACCAGGTAATGTCATCAATATACCAGCTTGAAATGAGGGTATCAAGAATCATGAGGTGATTCAAGATTTCATCTTTGCCACACAGTTCAAACCTCTTGTTTTTCCCTAAACCAAGCCAATGAATTAAATGAGATATGTTCCAGACATTGACTCCGTTTGAACGTTCTGCTTCCTTCAGGTCTCTGAACACGCTTTCAGACAAGTCCCACTTAGGAGGCTTAGTTTCCAAGTAATCCTTATGACCCCTTTGTCTCCGGTGATATTCTACATAGCCTATCATCGAGACATAGAGGGAAAGGGCACTCTGTCCAATCTTCCTTAATTTCTTGCAACCTGGCTCTTTTCCTGAGAAATACATCTCTGACCAAACAAACACATCCGGGAACTCGGCTTTCAGTTGAAAAAAACTTTCAAATTTCTTCAGAAACGTAGGTGTGAGTTCCTTCCTTTCAATCAAACTTTTTTTAATTAGCCCCCAATTCTCACCAATAGTCTTTTGGGCTGTGTGGGTTGTAAATGTTATGATTCTCCTGTGAAGTTCGTATTGATCTATTGCAGTATTAAGAGCCACACATCTTTCAAGTTCAACAACAACCAAGTCTGGATGTAAGTTCCACAAAATTGATTGCAATATAGTTTTCATTGCTCAATTGGCCAAGGGGAAGATTATTTTGATCCTTTGAGAGTTGCAACTGGGTCTCAAAGATTTGGAAGGCAAGCTGGGAGCAGTTTTCTCTCAGGGAGAGACTCTTCTTGGCCTTGGAGATCCCTCTTTCACAAGTTCCTCTTTTTTGCAAATACTCAAAGATCTTCTGTAATAAAGGCTGTGATGTATGCACCACATCACTCCACATACCCTTGATAACTCCAGGAAATATTTCACCAGGATTTGTTGATGGAAAGGGTTGGATAGCCATCCTGATTCTTTCTGCATGTTTCTTTCCCATTTCAATTGTCACCTTTCTGTGACTAGTTGAAAGCAATTCAATGTTATTTGAGATACTTTTGTCTGGATCATAGTCTGTTTTTGAGCTTTTCTCAGAGTGTCCAAACTCAAAGTGGAATTCCAATTTGGCAGTAGCAGAATTCACAACATCCTCCAACTTTCCTTGATAAGGACCTTTTGAACTGCATTTTTTCAAAAGCTGATTTCTGTTTAATGTGCTTGATCTATCACATCCAATTGGGGATGCTGAACTGAAGTAAAAAGGAACCAAAATCTGAAATGAGTTAACAGAAAAACAAATTAGGAAATCAGGAAGCAAGCTAACCACAGCCTTTCTTTTACTGCTGAAGCATCTCTATCAGTGGGCAACAATAACACATCTTCCTTTCCAATTTTTGTTGCACCCTTATCCAATTTCAACTCTGCAATTTCTACTGTGCAAAATTCATCAAGCCTGCAAGAAAAATTGCCATATAAGTACTTCAGCTTGAAGATTTGGGATGGATCAATTGATTGGCTCACACCCTTCCTTTCTCCATTTTGGTATTCTTGGCCCTGGATGTGCTTTCCTTTGCATCACTTACATTGAATTTTATTGCAGGTGTTTCTTGAATTTCATCTGTATGCTTTTCATGGAATTTTGCCACATTATTACCAGAAAGGATTGCCTGTGGTACTACACAATCCTTCAGACAAGGATCTTTATTGTGGAATTGACATTCATCTTGATGCAAAATTCTTCCTGATTTGCTCAAATGAGAATTGTGACCAGTTTTGCTTTGGCTGAGACTCACTTCTGCAGAGAGACTTTCACATTCATCCTCTAAATTAGAAGAGTCTACTAAGAGATTTTCTTGATTAGTCAAAGCAGAAATCTTGGAATTCAGGCTACTAACTGAGATAGTGCCATTTTGTGAAAGCAAGGTGATTGATAATATCACCAAAGCTTGAAATTTATTGCTTAGCATGGCTGACATGAATCTCTCACCTCAAGTAGAATTGAAAATTAATGTTTTGAGGATGTTAGGATTGACCTGCAACTTTCTCCTGGACCAGTGGAGCACCACCACCAATCACACATGAAGGAGTGTCTCATCTGTGTTTGAGATCTTAGAAGTATCTCATGAACTGAACAGATAATATGCATCTGAATCAAATCTCTCTTGGAACTATCAAACACTGATCAATCAAATTATAGGGGCTGTCTACTTGGCCCTCAATTCTAAACTGGCCACATTTGATTTGAATCAAATATTCTTAAACTCCTTTCTTGAAATCAGATGTTTCAATAACATATTTAACATAGACATTTTTTCAAAAGCAAAATTCACTCAATAGGGGGTATCAAATAAGGAAAATCCACCATCAGAAACCAGTAACTTTTCCAAAAACTTTTTTTGCATAAATGGTCCCCAAAAGGGGTTAAATGGATAACCAACATGTTTAAAAAAGGGTGGATTTTTTCAAACCAGTCAATTAAATAATGGTGGATTTGGTTATATTTGATACCCCCTAAATAAGTCAATTTTTTCTTGAAATTCAGCTCAGGACCTACAGGTAAACTACTGTCCATGAGGGTTACACATTTCAGAGACTATTCAGGTTCCAAATTGGCCGGGTTTGGGTCAAAGAATGGTGACCAAACCCGCCCCGCTGAATTCTCGGGGCAAAAATGGCAAAATGTTGACCAAACCCAGCCCAAATACACAGTGCCTCAGGTCGGTTCTTGTGTTGGTTCTGGGTCAACCCAGCAAATGATCAGTTAATTCCTTTCAATCAGGTCAGTCAATCAATATCAAGCCGACCCAAATACAATCTGTCCTGATCATACCCGCCCCACCAACCCGTTGGGTTGAATCCGCGTCAGGTCAATTTCCAACCCTAGCCTGCTCAAACCCACCCGGTGACCCAGCGGGTTGACCCAACTCACTTGGATCCTGAGAGACTATTCCAATTTTTGAGCACCTCTGCTCTCAAAAGTGTGTCATTGGTTCCCTGATGTAATTAAAACAACCTCAATAATGCTGAGACATGTCAGAGTGCTGCCTTTATAACCAACTGTGGCTGCTCAGGTAGCTGGGTGATAGTGCATATGGTTCACTCCAACCACCATAATGGCCACAAGCCATCAGACAACTTGAAATCCTTGGCACACTCAAATTATGTTTTCCCCACTGAATTGCAAAACCTGTGCAATCAACAAAAAATTGGAGAGGATGGGCTTACACTACAGCTTTTTTGGAGCGCTCAATATTCCACTCCCACTGTGGCCACTTTTCCAGTGCTCAGTGGCCCACTCCAAAACTTGTTTGCTATGCACTTAGCAAAAACTTGGAGCACATCTGTACTGGCCCTTACAGATTCTCTGAAATTCAAACAACCATTTTTATACTTCATGCTGCATGTGATCTTTAACAGAAAAGTAAAATTCAAAATGGATGGACAAATAAGAGAAGAGAAAATAATCCATGGATGTGTCATTGAAAGTTTGAGCTGAATGATTTGATCTTTTTCCATTCTTGATTGTGGATTTTTTGACATTCAACATCTTTAATTTCTTTCAACACAGTTGTTTTATTTTATAAAATAAACATGATTTGTTTTGTTTTTAATTTATTCAATACTCAATCAAATATCCTCTGCGGTAAAGGATACAAATTGAAAGATGTTTCATGGAAAATTCTCATTGATCCAAGATTGAGCAAATTCCTTGACATCAGTTGCAAGTTCCAATTCTGGGGGAAATTGATTCCAAACTGATTCCCATTTTATATGACCATCCTCTTGCCTGTTTTGGTCTCTCAACAATTTGATCAAGACAAGAATCTCATCACAAACACCATGGTCTGCTAACCTCAAAATTTCTTCCTCCCTGAACTGTACTAGATCAAAAATCTTTCTGTTCACATTTGTTTCTGCTTCAAACTCTTTCCTTGAAAGGCTTGGCATTTCTAAATATTGCCATGTGATTCTTTTGCCTCTTTCAACCAAGCTGTTAAGTTTTTGATTGTATTCTTCTTTGAATACTTTCCTCATCCAGGCTCTATCAGCAGATTCACTCCACCCAATATCAGCCTGCCAGTTTGTGCCAGAAGTGACCATATTGAGGATTTCAATATGTCTGAAAACTTTGGATATACTCCATGATTCAATTTTATTTTCCTTTCCAAGTCCAAGATAATGGATAAAGTGGAACACATTCCAGAAATTGACACCACTATACCTTTCTGCCTCTCTCAGCTCTTCCCAAAGCTCTAAGGATAAGGTCCATTTTGGGGGAAATTTGATGATATCCTCTGCTACTTGGGTCCTCCTATGCCATTCAAAATGCCCTAGTGTCTTTTGAGCAATATCTATAGCAGTATTGTAAGTATCCTTGGGACTTGCTTTTCCTTGGTATTCCTCTGAGGTTTTCACATCTTCCCCAATCCGTTTTTCTGGGAATTCATGGTTAAGTTGGAAACAATCTTCAACTTTATTCAAGAAGCTGAGATTGTGCTCTTTCCGATCAATCAAACTTTGCTTGATCATCTTCCAATTCTCAACACTAGTTTTCTGGACAATTTGATTTGTGAATGTTATGATTCTCCTGTGCATTTCATATTGGCTAATTTCAGGGTGAACCATTGAACATTTTTGAAGTGTAAGGACAATCAGGTCTGGATTTAAGTTCCACAAAAATTTCATTGCAATGTAATTTTCATTTTTCAATTGGTGCAGGGGAAGATGATTTTGGCTATTTGAGAGTTGAAGATGAGTTGCAAAGAGTTTGAATGCAAGCTGGGAGCATTTATCTTGCAGTGCGGAATTTGTTTTGGCCTGTGAAATCCCTCCTTGCCAAGTTTCATTTTGCAAAAAGTTGACAATATCCTGCAATAAAGGTTGTGACTGATGAACCACATCACTCCACATTCCCTTGATAACCCCCGGGTATATTTCACCAGGATTTGATGGTTGAAAGGGTTGGAAAGCCATCTTTATTCTTGATATGCCTTTCTGTTGCATGATCTGCAATACTTGTCTTTCATCATCAAGGATACGATTGATCAAATCTGAGGCACTTGCAGTTATACCATATTCTCTGGTAATGTGATTGTCGTGCAAGCGCAATTGGGACATTGCCAAATCACCATTGGTCTCTTCTTGATCCACTCCGGCCAAGTGATTTTTGTTTTTTTTCTTGGATGGATTTGAATCAGACTTGGAGGTCGTACTAAAAGTTAAAAATCGAAGTCAGCTTGGTTGTTGAGGAAATACAAAAGGAACTTAAGCAAACCCGTGGGCCGTACCAACCTTTTCTGGATCTCTATGACATCCTTCTTTAAGGGATGCAGATAATTTTCTTCAGACGCCTGCTTCAAAACAGGAATTTTCTTCTTCCTCCGTTTCTTGCTTTTCCCTGATTTCTGCATTGAATTTTGCGTCACAATGCCTTCCTTATCCCTACGAGAAAACACGGCGTGAGCGCTTTTACTCGTCAAGTTCATATAACCGCACAACGGCCCCCCAGGCTCTACTTACGTTTTTCCAAGCCCATTTTGCAAATCTTCAGCTTCAAAAGGTTTGGTGTGAGCAATGACCTTGGGGTACGGTACCGGTGAGGTTTGGTTTCCCGGTTTCATCTTCGGTTCTAAAATTTGAGCTTAATTGGACACGGCTTATATTGATAGACCCTGTGAAATGTTCTTCCCCTCTGTCCTCTAAACCTTGGAGGCTATTCTTGCGGACTCCTTGAGTGACTGAAGTGGAGGCCTCTGGTGGGAAGTTTACGAGCGTCGTCGAAGAAAGATTCGTTCCTATCAGAGCAAAGGCTGCCAGGTGCATCAGCACCTCAAGTTTCCCTACTCGCATCGCCAAACAATCCTGAGTACTACACGAGTACTGTGTTGTTCAAGTTCCTCTGGATCCCAATGTCAAGTAGGGCAAATAACCAACCACACGAGGGAAGGCATACCTTTCATGCGCAAGATACGGTTTCATCAAATAGCCTCTGCCTGTAACACGCTCTGTACAACCTCAGGTCCATGCCTCTCGATGAGGCTGAACATGATAAGACGTGATGATGTCCTTTGTCGGGGTGCTGCATACATACTGAAACTACGATGAAGCTGATTGACAGAAAAGACAAGATGACTACGGGCAGGGACGGCGCACAGGGGTCCACTTCTTTCTGTCAAGGAGGTACATAAAAGTTTACAGCAATAACGTCCCCCCCCCCCCGTCATGGCCGGCATGAATTGGTCGGACAAGCAGCCTCGACAAAGCATCGTACAGACTGTCCGATCTGCTCCACTTCCTGGAGTCGGACTAAGTGGAGCTAGAACTCATCGGACATAGTCAGTCCGACCACTACTCAGGATGGGATTATGGGCAAAGCTGGTCGGATAGTCGCGTTTCAAGCAGACATTGGCAGTGAGGAGGACTAGCCGGAGGCAATCCGACCGACCGGCCCAAAGAGATTCTAATTTGGCAGCAACGAGGTCATCACTTCGTCGCTGCTGATTTGACTGGCGCAGGTAGTGTGCATTCAAATCAGGGTTAAAATTTGAGAGAGTCGAACAAGCATTTTATCTAGAGACAGCTCAAGTTGATCAATCAGAGTATGTATGGATACTAGTTGACGAAAGTTGGAGCTCTATCTAGCAAGAGAAAGTACTCCGTCAGGCGAGATTAAATAATCTAATCTTCGGTCATGAGCCTGAGTGGGTATATATTCTTTTTCCGGCAAAAGTTGTTCTCTGAGACATATACCGACCAGGATCGGCCTTCTCGGGGTTGGTTTTTCCGATTGCTGTTTTGTCGCCAGGTGATCGGGGTAATTAGTGATTGAAGGTCTGGATGCGACCGAGGGATATGCGTTGAGATATTCGTCGTAGTATCCTTTTCCACGGCCGAGTCGATTCCCGAATCGATCGAAAGCCAAGCCTGCCGAGGTTTTGGTAGTTAGTGGATGGATATGTGATTGGGAAAGCTGTTTTTTCCAATCCTGAACGTTGTCCGTTCTTACTTACCTGGTAGTAAAATCAAGTCTAGTCCCTCGGGGAGAGCTTTTTGTTGCCGTTGGGAATTTTAAATGTAAATTATACGCATGTCCCATCGAAACCCCAAATTTGGAAGGAATGTGAAGAAGCAGCACTAGCTCACCATTTTCAAGACCTGCGATCTTAGCAGGATCGAATTGAAATACTTGTGGAGAAGAGGATGAAGAGGAAAAGGAGACGGGCACTAAGCCAGTTTGGAAGTCGGCCCAACTCTTTAATTCCAACATCTCCATTCGATGTGCGCCAGTCTTTTTCGGATCGGCTGGCTCGGAGGGATAATGGATGTAGGGCAGAAACAATTTCTTTTCTGTTTGATGCGTGCGTACGGGACAGCATATTTCGCCGGCAAGGATATAGTGGTCAAGTTAATCCGTTTGGGCAAAACAAAGCAGAGGGAGAAGAAAGCTTTGTGAGATTCTCCCTCTGTGTCTCATTCCAAGAAGAAGAAGAAAAAAGACTTGACTGTTTTCTAGCAAGTTTTTGATAATCGAATCCGTCGGTAATTCGGCTGAGCTCATCGACTTGTAACAACTCACTCGATCTGAATCGACATAATGATTAAAGCTCTTCAAGTGCTTCAAGACTTCCTCGCCTATTCGATTCACGTATAGAAAACAACACCCATTTAACCATTATTCGCCTCGATCTCGTAGGAAGAGAGGAAAAAAAAAGGAAATGAAAACAAGCGGGACAAACCCAATACCTTGATGGACCAAGGATTCGGACGTGATTTCCTTAAGGACTTCTTGGACCTGACGACGGATGAGTAGTTTCTGACGGCCCATCGAAGGCGGAGGCTGATAAGCAGTTGATTTTGATTTGCTGCTGGAGTGGGTAGCAGCAGAAGAAGAAAACCAAGCGGCCGATGGCGGATTGGCCATCATAGTTCCCCTGATCTGACAGACTGCCCTGCCCAACATGTTCTCGTCTTCAGACTCTCCCGGCCCGGTTCTCCTCGGCGTTGCAACTTGCAACCAATATAATCCGAGAGGACCCAGGCAACCCCCTATATAGGTGCCTAACCAAAATGTAGGAATTTTTGACCAAAAAACCAAAATGATACACACCAAAAGTGTATGAATTGCCTTTTTATCCTCATAGGTTACTAACCTAGAATGTATGAATGATGTATAATTGTCAAATTTTTACCCAATTTTCCTGCTCTTTTTGGGTTTTTTGTTTTTTATCTGTGACTGTTGTGGATAGAACTTGTTAAAAAATTGAGAAAAATTGATAAAAGGTTAATTTTGGCAGTAAAAAAGGCAAAAATTCAAATTTATAGTGCTCTGCACCCCCCCCCCCCCCCCCCCCCCCCCCCCCTCAGCAGCGGGAGGGTAGGCACGAAAAGGGTATGAATGGCTTCCAGAAATGTAGGAATTTTGGCAAAATCTTAGATTTTTGGTTAGGCACCTCTATAGGGGGTTGCCAGGGTCCTAATCCGGGCCGCTTCCGGGGGCCTCCCCGGGGGACGGAACTTCATCGAAGGCAGGGATGCCTTCGCAACTGCAGAATACACTCACTCAAAGTCCTTACTTCATTCTTCTTCCGACATC